ACCAAATACAAAAGTCTAATAAAATACCAAAAACCCAATTGTACTGCTAATTATTTACTTGTCTGTAGGCCCCAGACAAGGGCGTCAATTGTGGAACGTGCTTGGAACGACGAAGTCGACTTCAACAACTCTTCAGTTGGCGCTGAAGACTGGTCAGGGACAGTGCGCTCCGCTGGCAGAGGAGCGCATGTTGTCAGCTCCCTTCGATATCTATCGGGGACACCTCAAAAGCCCAAGCTGTGGAGCAGTTTTCGGGAGTGCCGAAGCAGCCTGCAAACAGTTTGAGCTGTGCGAATGTGACAACTTGGCATGACACTTCGCTTGCGTGTTACACGTGTAGGCGTTATTTTTTCCAAAAAAGGTGTCAAAGGCAAATGAAAGTTGGTAACCGTTTTCTAGCTTAAACTTCTTCAATGTTGACATCAGTTTTCGAAGTAGTTTCTGGTGGTAGATTTGCAGCATTTTCCGCAGTTTCTCTGGCTGCTTCGGAATTGGCATTTTTAGCAACAATATCAACTGTTTTGGCAACTTCATCTGCTATTTCGGTAGCATCTCCTGCAGCGATGTTTGCGGCTGTGTCAGCAACTCTTTTGGTAGCAACAGTTAATTCGGTAACTCTTTCGATGGCGGCGGCAATGACCGTAGTGTCTGCATGTTCTGTGTTGGTGTCCTGTTCGTGTCGCGAGAACCAAGTGGAGCGATCTATTTCAGTTGCATCGGCTGGAAAGTTTTGTTGCCAACGGTAGTGTCCACTGTGCCTTCCGTTGTGATGTTAGTGGTAAGGTAATCTGCGTTTTAAGTGACCTCTTGTGCTTGTAATGGCTGAAAATTATTGGAGCCTCTAGTGATTGGGGGTTTTTCATGAAGAACGACATGCTAAGGAGGAATAAAGTCAGGGTCATCTCTGCAAAACTCAGGGTCATCAGTTACTACTACGGGCACATGAGATTTCTGAATGAAGATGGCTGAATGAGTCGTTTTGGTAAAAGTACCGTATCTTAACCTGGTGGGCGGCTGCGGCAGCTCTGGTCAATTCATCTAGTAGTTTCATTTCTTTTTGCCTGAAGGTGATACTAAGAGGGTGAACTAAAAAGGTTGACGGTTTATCTGAAGTAATAGCCGGTGTTGGTTTGGCTCCAGGCAGTCAAATGAATGGTATAAACGGTAAACTGGATAAATCGGTCGTTGAAGTGCTGTTCAGTGCACCAAATTTACCAAGTGTTTTGTGCACTGTAATTTTTGTTTCTGTTGAGCAAAATTTGTGTCGGTTCAATCAGGGCAGTAGTTCTAACTATGCTTTCAGTGGCAGTAGAAGTCCAGGTGACGATTTTTGTGATAGTCGTAGCAGTAGTAGTTTCTGCGAGTTCAGTAGTTGCAGTAGTAGTAGTAGTAACCGTAGTTTCTGCAAATTCAGTCGTAGTTGAAGGAGTAGGAATTGTGGTTTCAGTACCTTTTAGGGCGCATGGCATAGTTATAAAAGGCTTTACGGCTATTAGAAATTGACGTGTTTAGATTTTGAGTCCATCTTTCAAAGTCGCCGCAGAAGTCTTTTATGATCCCGAGCTAAACCACCTTTCAGGTTTTTTCTTTTTAAAGTTTTAGTACACTCAATCTATGGTTTGTTGCTTTGCGGTTTTCACTTTAAAATGTAGCAGACTGACGGAATTTTTGTTTTTTTTTGCTTTAAATTCTGCTTTTATTTTGCTTACAAGAGATTTCTTTGTTTTGATTTGCAGACGTCTTTTTTTCTTAATTACTTTAAAAGCAATTTTTATTTTTGTTATCCAGGTAATTTTTTAGTTGCAAAAGGCAATTTTTAGCTTTGCTCAATTAAGTTTCAATTTAGTAGTGAAGGAGTCTTCAATCCTCAACAATTTTTTAATTAAGCAGACTGTAAGAGTGCAGCTTTTTTGCGGTTTCACGGTTGTTGCGATTTGCAGTTTTCAGCTTTCTCAAGTGAGTTCAGACTTTTTTCTCTTGTTTTGCAGGAGCTTGTACAAGTTTTTTATTTTTGGTTTTAGTTCAGTCCTACTGATTTGTAGAGAGAAAATCGTTTTTTGTGTGAACAAACTGGTTCTTTTTGTGCCGAATTCTTTTTTGTTTTTTACTTGAAGAAAAGAAGCACTCTTGCTGTGTCAGGTTTTTTTGTGATTTAGTTTTTTGACTGGTAACTTTGAAATCCTGTGTTTTAACTTTTGTAGTCATTTTTAACTTTTTATTTTAGTTGTTTCGTTTTTGAATTATTCTCCTTTTCACACCTGATTAATTTTGAAACTACTTGATCAAGGCGAGCACAAAGTATATAAACTAAAAAATATTTTATTAAGGAGTAAAAGTAGTTTAAAAAAATAAAGTGTGGTTTAGAATATTCTACAAAACAATAATAGGATTAAAACAAGTCAAAACTCAGTTCAACTGAGTCGATATGTTAAGGGGAGCCATTTTTGAAGAAAAGTGGGCTTCCCTGCGCAATGCATTTGTATAGCAAAAAGGTCATTTTTTCGGTACACTTTTCTCAGCGACCACACATCGGATTTAAATGTTGTAAAATTCAAAATGAAGGCAAGCATGTAATCTTCATTTTAAACAAAAGCGATTTAAGTTAAACAATATTATTTAAGCATTAATCATGGTTTTTAAAAAACAATACGTTTCACAACGTAGTTAATATAACAATAAAATTTTTTAATTTTTTGCTTTTATTTAAAATGAAGATCACAATCTCGTCTTTATTTTGATTTTTACAAAATCTAAATCTGATGTGTGGTTGCTGAGAAAAGTGCACCGAAAAAAGATCTTTATGCTATACAAATGCATTGCGCAGAGAAGCCCACTTTTCCTCAAAAATGTCTCCTTTTAAGTGTTGAAAAATAAAACTTTGGTGCNTTCTACTTGATTTACAATTTTAAATCATTTAATTCTGACTTGTGGTTCCAAAGATATCATCAAAAGTTTGGAACGTTCCAGAACTCGGTCTATGGGAAAACCATGCATTCCTATGGGGGCGGTCAAAATGCATGCAAGTCAATGGCGCACTGCATTTCCTTATGGCGCATTGACAAAACATTGTTTATCACAACAACTTCTGCGTGCAAAGCAAATCTAATCTCAAAAACTAAACAAAATTAAGTTTTGAAAATTCCAAAATTATTCTAATTTTTTTAATGATGTTCTTTTAAAAAACTCAAAAAATTACCCACATCAATGCATTTTTTCCCATCAAGTTAGCAAAAGTTATTAAAAAATTTTGAGTTTCAGTTTAACAATTTGACTTGTTAAATAAAAAGTTTTTGACTAAACTTTTGATTTTTGTTTGTTTTAATTTTCAAAACATAATGATATTACAAAGTTAAATA